GCACTCCGTCTATATTGTTCTTATTGTTAGTGTCTTTTTTAGTCTATGCATATTGCATTTTTTTATTTGTTTATTCTGCCTGCGTTTTCAGTTACCATATATCAATTTCAATTACCATACTTTGATCTTCAGGACAAGCATAAGTCGCGATCGGTTCATGTTCCTCGTTTTTGCGAAACTCGGCTTCCTGCAAATACCTGCACACATACATACATACATGGCGAGAATGGCAATGCACTACCTACCGCTGAGTAGAATGGCAGAATTCTCTTTAGAAAAGTAGCACCAGACATTTGTTTCTTCGGGGCATAATTTCACCTAACGTGCCCTCACTGGACATCAAAGTTACTGAAATCTAAGCCATCTGAATTCTGAGTTCGCTAGCAAATATGTCATCATCATTCTAAATTCGACAGGAATAGTGCGCTAAGCCTACCACTTGGTTTTACTTTTAGCCTTACGGCTTCATTGCTTCGTAATCCTCTGCTGGAAAAGATTTATTCCTCGTGGATGTATGTAAGGTTGGGGAATATCTACATAGTCCCTGATTACCTCTTGGCTCGTAGAATTCGTTAACGCCTTGATTTCGTCAGCGGTCGAGCAAAATTTAGTCATTTTGGCTGGAAATTTCCATCATCATAGTCTCAATTCTACCCATCTGCTCGGCTTAGCCAACCTGTGCAATTCCAAGCGCGCGGAAATGCGAAGCTTGATCGCGTGTATGTGAATATGCGCGTCATTTACACAATTTATATGGTTACACCTTTCGGGATGTCGTATCACAGTGTCATTCGCGTTTTGCCAGCGTTCGTCAGAGGGACTGAAACCAATTCTCAGCAAGTTGTTTTGCTTTTCTTGCCTTCCAGAACTGTACATCGTCGGGACTTACTTACAGAAAATATTCTAAATCCATCGCAATTTCTGTAACCCATTGTCTGACTTGATCCGCCAATGAACCGTAGAAATCAAGAAGAGTTGGACATAGCTGTGCAACGAATCGCTACAGTCCTGAACGATAGCTTCGTCTCTTTCTGTCCAGCCCAGAAAACTTAGTGGACTGAGCGCCACATTATATTCAAGACGATGCAGGATCTACGATCCCAAAAGAAGAGGGCATACAGCTCGGGAATTATGCGCTCTCTCGAAGGATCTCATTTGATATTACAGCAGAAATAAAACGGTTGGACGAATTCTACACAAGCCACTGTTTTACAGAAACAGAAGCGAAAATTTTATTGCCTGACATCAAGTCCTTATGCAACACTACGTCAGTTGCACCGACATCAAGGGTTTACCAGGATATTTACATCTTTAAATGCCACTTCCTGTGATTTGAATTCGATAGAGTGTT